GTATGAAGTATGAAGTATGAAGTATGAAGTATGAAGTATGAAGTATGAAGTATGAAGTATGAAGTATGAAGTATGAAGTATGAAGTATGAAGTATGATGTATGAAGTATAAAGAATTAAGACTGATGAAGCATGAGAATGTGAAGAATTGTATGAAGAAGGGAGATTGACGAATGGCGAGCCATGAATGCAACAGACGCCGACGATAAAGACGAGCCGAGAATAAAGGACAATCAATGTGACATGGGAAGTGTGATGAATAAGTAAAAATGAATAGTGAATGACGACTGGAGATAAGTTGTGAATGAAAAAAGATTAATCGTGACTTACGAGTGAAGATTATGAATGAAGAGTCAAGATTGAGACTATCGATGCATGAATAATGAAGAAAAACGAGTGGCGATCAAATTCTGAGGATTGACGAGTGAAATTTAAGGAATATCGAATGAAAAAGATATATAGAATGATAAGTCTTGGCGACTGATGAATGCCAAATGTGGATAACCTAGTAAAACTAGCGTATTACTAGCGACGAGGTGGAAGAATCGAGTGATTAGGGGCGAGTGGAGCGACGACTGACGAGTGCTCAATGCACAGTGACAAACATAAATATATACATATATCTATAATCTAGTTAGCAGTGAGTACAAAGAGCTAGTTTGCCAATGAGTATCAAATAAATATATCGAGTGTCTTATTGACTTACTCAATAAGCAAGAAGTAAAGTTGGCGTGGTTAAAGAATAACGAAACAAATATGATTTAAATATTGAGTAAATCATGAGTAGAGCTTAAGCACTCACTGAATGAATGACTGAAACTAACTAGATCAAATAATGAGTAGAAGAAAATAAGTAGAGTATAGGCAAGGCCAAGGCTTATTAGAGAGTTGACAAAGTCGACAGAGACGCAACGAGAGGCGACTCAATGCCAGCTCGAAATGAGAGACTATTAAGTAACGTCAAGTAATCAGATCAGATGTATTTATATGTAAAGAAAGTGCTCGCTAGTAATTTGTATTTTTATTCAGATTCTGCCAGGGGAAAGGGGTACAGGGAGAATGGGGGTCGGGCAATCAAAAGCAAATGCATTCGAGTCAATTTGATGCAATCGCCGTCAATTACCGCGCACTGGACGAAAGGGAAAGTGCAAAAAAATGCGAGTTCGCTGCGGCGTCTATTGATAAGGACGGTCAGGAACCTTTTCAACTGACTTTGGCATTGCCAGCTAAGTGAATGCATGTTTCTTTCTATAAACAAACAAAAATAAGCAAATAAAAAACAGACTCATTAAGCGATAATCAACACTTCAAACGGCACTCAAATGGGGGTAGAGCCGATGTGGGTATACGAAATACCGAACCCAGATCTTTATCAGATGATATCATATAAATAGCTGTGGTTACCTGAGTACATACCTACACACAATACATATACATATAGGTGTATATATCTAAGGCACATGTCGAGTGCGATCTATATATAATACGTATTATATCTATAATTCTGTGTATGCTCCGCCTGATTGCCCAAACGGGCATATGTTCAAGTATCCCGGACGTGTTGCTTATCAATTATCAGCAGCAAGCAAAATGGACTCTGGATGGGAATGGGAATGGGAATGGCAAAGGTAAATGGTATTTCATACCTTTATGTATACACATGTGTGTGTGTGTGTGTGTGTGTGTGTGTGCATACACATATCATTTACCACCATCTCTCTTAGTCGGGCAAATGCGCTGAACTTGTGAGAATTGGAAAATTGCAATGGCAGCTAATGGCAGAAGGGCTATTTGACAAAGGATGCCCAACGATCCAATCAATACACATTTCCGGCTGCCTCGCCTGGCTAATGAATGTCGTCTGCTGCCACCGGAAGGGGGACAGAGGGTGGGACAGCGACTGAGGACCGAACTGAAGCTAACCGGCTAGAACTGATTCCGGTTCTAGTGCGTGCGCAGTGGAAAGTTTTTTTGTCTCTTCTTTTTCGATTCGTAGAAAATTGTAGTAAACAGAGGCTGCTGGGCACGAGACGAGTCGAACGACAACAACAACAGCAACGAAAGATAAGACAATTGACATTGATTCTGCCTTTTTTCCAAATAGATTAAATGCTAAATGTCAGTCCGAGTTTAACCTCAAAAAGCATAGCAAATGAGAGCGAGAACGAGAGCTAGTGAGAGAGAGAGAGAGTAAGTAGCGTGCTTATGTATATGTGTGTGTGGGCGTTTTGACGGCGTGGGCAGCTCACAAATGTCAAACTCTCAAGTTTAGTAGAAAGGACATTTGGTTAGCACCATGACGTATGAGGTAATGTCGGATTGGGATTGTGTAATCGGAGCAGTTAGTTTTACAAAATATACGCACAATAGCGGCAAATACATACATATGTATATGTATTTATAAATGCACATGTATTTGTGTCTGCATCGTATCTGTGTGTGTGTGTGCGTATTTTGGTATATTTGCTTGAATTTTATATTCACCTAGTGCCGCCGCCGCCGCACTCCTGATGACGGGCCTTTGTTCCGTTGTGCGGCCCGAGCAATGGATTGCCCTTGAGTTTGTCCTTTTCGACCGCCGCTGCTTGGGCGGCAGCGACGCCGGCAGCGAAACTGTTATACGGCGCGCATGCAAACTGGTTTGCTTGGCGTATGCCTGAGTGTGCTCGTGCGTATAACACTACGCCTACTATATAGCAATGTATGTGTGTATGCATGTATGCATGTGAGCGTGCGCCACGTGTAGGCGTGTGTGTAGGAGGCTCGTCACCGGCATTCGAAGCCAGTGATGCGCAGTTTTTTATCCAGCTGGCTTGACTTTGATGTAAAGCGCTAGCATCTCTAGTTAGCTAGTATATATTTTTATATGCAATCGATTAATGCGACGCAGTTTTATGACGTAAATGAAGTTGTTCTCACCAATTCGAAGCGTTATTATAGCTATGTATGTATGTATGTATGTAGTACAGACTCTGTATACCATAGAGTTGGTTTCAATAATTGCAATCAATTAATGTAATTACGCCTGGGATAGGGTTACAACTGTACAAGCAACAAATTATAGCCAAACCGGAAATTAAGAAGAGGGAGAAAATGGAAATAGAATACAAAACAAGGTTCACGGTCACCTAATTCAATGTCATTCCTATCTTAGATGGAAAGGTGAAACTAAAATAACATATATAAATACAAAATAATAANCCTTTATTATTTTATTTTAAGAAAATGTTACAAAATGAATTTTAAGCATTTAATTAATTTTAAGACTTTAAATATATATTGGAATATGGAATTGAATACGAATGCATATTGTTCTAGTTTTATGTTCGACTGAAATATTATTAATTTTTTAAAATTAAATAAACAACAAACATTTTTTGCAATGGGAAAACCCTTATTTTTTCTATATATAATAAGTCAGTTATTACTTTTACATATAATTTGAATTTCCAGACGATTTATTTGTTATGGTATTTATAGTGGTATTTTGTAAAATATGAAATAGTATTTTATAGTATATTTTTGAGACCAAATTGGTATTTTTCGTTTGGTCCGGCGCGGTCACGCTGGTTGAGAAACGCGAGGGCCGCACTCTTATAAAACACAATGTCTTTTAGTAATTTATTAATGAAAAACAGCATAAATGGCAGCTTGCGCAGCACACAGACAGCAGCGCTGCTGCTGCTAAACGTGAGCACGCGCCAGGGACACACGCTGCGCGGCAAGCCTCCCGGTGTGGCACGCACGCTGGAGCAGCGACTGCAAGGTAATTTCCATTGATGTAATCTGGTTTCGGCTCCCGTAATTTACTGGCTTTTGATTCCTGTTATGCATAGATGAGAACGTCACCGATGCGGAGATTGTGGCACGCGTTAACATTGGCTTTCCGCAGCTGAAGCCATCGCGTTCGGCACAGCTAAAGGCGCGCCTCGAACACCTGAAGGCCCAGCGCGCCAGCAAGGAGCTGGAGCAACTGGCACGCGGCAATAAATGCAAGTAACTGTAATTCCTTCCACTCACACATAGCCAACTAACTTGAACTTAAACTTGCCCCACACGCAGTGCTCATCGATTTGGACAAGGTGCAAGAGTCCTACGTGCAGAGAACGGGTCAGCATGATCTGCGGCTGCTGGCGGATCACTATGGCATCTTTGAGCATCTGTTTGGCAGCGCCTACTTTGTGCCGCGCGTGCCACTGACCATACGCTACGAGCTGAACGCCGATACCCTCAGCCCCGTCTACAATGGCAATGTGATCAAGCCCTCGGAGGCGAGCAAAGCGCCCTTGGTTAGTTTCGATGGCCAGTTGGATCCTGTTACGGGCAAGGCAGCGCAGGGTGACAGCTACTGGACCCTGCTGGCCACCAATCCAGATGCACACTTCACCAATCCCGCAGCCGAGTGTCTGCACTGGTTTATGTGGGTTACCAAAGATGCCTTCCTTCGTTTCCTCAAATATTTATACATTCTTCTTTTAGTGCCAATATACCCAATGGCAAGATTGGTGAGGGCGAGGTATTGGCCGACTATCTGCCGCCGTTCCCTCCTAGGGGCTTGGGCTACCAGCGCATGGTCTTTGTGCTCTACAAGCAGGAATCCCGCCTAGACCTGAGCTCACACAAGCTGGATGCCAAGGACTACAACAATCTGGAGAAGCGCACCTTTAGCACATTGGACTTTTATCGCCAGCACCAGGACGAGCTGACGCCAGCGGGGCTCGCCTTCTACCAGACCAACTGGGATGAGTCCCTGACGAATTTCTATCACAATGTCTTGCGTAAGCTTGTCGAGCTTAAAGTTATATTCCCAATATTCTCATTTTCGAATGCCATTTGCAGAACTTAAGGAACCGATCTACGAGTACGATTTCCCCAAGCCATATCTGGCCGATCAGAAATTCTTTCCGCTCAAGCAGGCGTTCAATCTGTACATGGACAAGCACCGCGACATCAAGGAGATCAACAAGGAGTACCTGCAGCGCAAGCTGGCCAAGACTCATCCCTTCGAAGGCCCAGAGAAGCCGCTGCGCTTCCCCAACGCCCATCCGCTGCGCGACGTGCCATCCTGGCTGAAAACGGAGATACGCAAGCGCCGACTGGGCACTGGACGCGTTCAGGATTACTAAGCCCACTACAATCCAAATAAATTACACACACCTCTGTTAATCGTTGTCTGATTTTTGGTTTTATTTTGTATTTTGGTTAACAAGTTGCTTTCATGCTCAATCGCTGGAAGTACATGGAATTGATTCGATGAAGTACACGCTGACGAGTATATCGTGTGAATTACATAATAGTTTAAATAAATACGTACATAAATAGAGAAAAGCTAACTCCACACATATACATATATCTATATATATGTGCATATATATATTCATTCTTCTATGGAATAGATTAATGTGTTTAACAAACATTTCGCCTGCAGGCGAAGGCAACTTCCTCCTCCTTCTCCTTGTCCACTCTCTCTCTCTTTCTCTTTCTAACCACCTTTCGGCCTTGTGATGCTCTAATTTAATTAGTTTTTTAGCTGATTAACTTGTTTGATTTTTGGCACAGTTTAAGTGTTATAAATATGTATGTATGTGTGTGTGTTTGTGTGTGTGTGTTGCTCATAAGTACTCGTGTCACTCGCTTCGACGACTTACGACTAAAACAATTTTGTAACTTGGAAGTGATTTGTGAGTGCCTTAGGTCTGGGCCTTGCCGTAGGCGCCCACCGGGGGCCTGTACATGGCCGGCAGCATGATCACCTGAGGCAGATTAAAAGCGTATTTGTGCTTGCCGATATTCTTGAAGACGTTGTCCATGCGCGTGCCCTCACTGCAAGAGAGACAAGAGATAGTGGATGCTGGATGCTGGATGATGGATGCTGGATAAGGGGGGAATACGAACCTGCGCATGGTGCTGAGCACGTAGGGCACTTGTTTGGCCGGCAGCTGGAATTCGCGCACCAGGACGCGACACTGCTCCAGGGTGACGGCCATGCCGGTGCGATCCTTGGCACTCTTGCAGGACGTGAAGCGCAGTCCGCCCATCAGACGGCACGCGTCCTCGGCCAGGTGCAGCACCTTCACATTCTTGGAGACGGTGGAGCGCAGCTGCTGCTCCATATAGCCGAGCAGCGACTGCAGGGCATCCCACTCCGAGACGCTGGCGTCCGCGTCGGCCGCGCAGGTCGCGTTCAGGCCCAGCTTGCGATAGCGACTGAAGTACTGGCTCAGCCGCAAATAGTTGTCCAGGTTGGAGCGCTGCTGCTCGCGCGTCTGCCCCAGCGTGGCCTTCTCGTTGATGCCGATGTTGAAGAAGACGGGCGTGATTTTGAAGCTGAGCGAGCTGCGCCCGGTCGCGGGCAGCGCGTGCTCCGGCACCGGCAGCAGCACCTCCAGCGCCTGCCGCGAGCCCGTTATGCGCGGCATCGGCTGCACCTCGTCCTGGGCGGCCGACACCAGCGTAAAGCTGACCGCCGACAGATCCTCGATGGCGATGCACATGTCGCTCCACATGTCCGTCTCGGAGCCGTACAGCGACAGCAGCCCCTCGAAGTACGCCAGCGGCCCCAGCTCACGCAGCAGCGAGATGTACGCCACATCCACCTCCCTGCCCCACAGCCGCACCATCAGAGCGCTAACCAAAGCCGTCAACTGCGGGAGAGAGAGAGAAAGCAAGCATTAATACAGATATAACCAGATACTAGAAAGAGAGAGAGAGTAAATATCAATATAGACGTAGGATACGGTTGTAACGACTCCGTTCATACTGCACTAGATCTCTATAGTCATAAGGTACTACACCTAAATAAATTTCAATCTCTAAACGGCACTAAGAATACTCCCAACAACCCCTCTAAAGTTCTATCATCTAGATAGATATATCACAATTATATTCATATTGTGCTCCTATATAAAAAAAAAAATTCGGAAACTGAAAATCCCTTTAGCTTGGCTTAGGCATCAAACACCTCTAGCTGTCCTACGGCAACAGTTCTTAAATTGTCATATCTATATATATAGAAAAATTAATTGGGAATTTAAATTGTGGAATCCTTTTGCTCAAGAATCCGATTTATATAGCTAATTTCAAATTGAATCTGTAGAATCTTGTTTTGCAGAATACATTTTCTATATCTCCAAATAGTCAATTTGTAGAATCTGTTTCCCCTAGAGCCCATTTCATATAGCAATCGGTTGCTCTCGAACTCGATTCCTATATCGACATTCGGTTAGATTTACCCAGAAAATCAACTGAAAATTGAAGCATCCTTTTCCTATATCTTTAAGCTAGATAGCTTATTATAAAATATTTATAGAATATTTTTCCTCCAGATTCCGACTCCTATATATTCACATTTATTCCGTATAGCTAACTATACCTAAGCAATTAATTGAGAATGGAATGTGCAGAATCCTTTTCTCCTAGAACACATCATTCTCCACATAAGCCGCTTAGGTCTCTCTAGGTTTCGGAACCATTTATAGATCAGCTTAACGACGAGTCTTACCGCCTGCGAGAAGCAAACGTCGCGGCGGTACATGATGCTCGCCTGGAGGCGATTGCAGCGCACGTCCTGCTGCAGCCGCTGCACGGAGTGCATCAGGCGCGCCGTCTTCAGCAGCCGGTCCATGGCGTGGCGCAGCTTGCGCATGCTGGGACGCAGCTCGCCCACCCAGTCGGTGGTTAGCGAGAGATCGAGGCCGTCGGTGAACTTGTTGCCCTTTTTGGGCGGGGCTGGCGCCGGGGCCGTTGGTGGTGCCGGCAGTGGGCCAGGCGCCAGATCGAGCTTGAGCTGTTGGGTCGGCTCCACGATCACATCGGGCGCCGCTATCACATCGGGCGTCTGCTGCGGCGCCACGGCGAAGCCCTCGCGCTTCAGCGGCACCTTGGGATGGCGCAGCCGGATGGCGGGACTGTCGCTGCGGCCACAGAAGAACTTCAGCTTGCTGACCAGGCACATCACACTGGCCTCGATGTTCAGCTGGGTGAGATCCAGTGGCTCCGGCTCCTCTGTGGGTCGATAGTAGTTCGCTGAGGGCGACGAGCTCATCAGCTTCGTGTCCAGGAAACTGGCGGTCTGCGGACGCTTGCGCACGGCCTTTACCATCTCGTCCAGGTCGATCAACTGCACCGGCGCCGTTGACGATGCGCCCGCCACGCCCTCCCAGCTGGGCGGCAGAGATTGATATGTGGCCTCCTCCGATAGCTCACACTGAGGCTGTGGAGGAACTGCCGCCGCCCCCGCCTCCAGATGCTGGGGCTGAAGCTGCTGCTCCTTCACCTCCTCCTGCTGCTGCTGCTGCTCGAGGTTGCGCAGATGCGCATTGTAGCACTTGACCACATGCTGGAGCGAGTCGATCGCATTGATGTCCAGCGAGCTGGAGGGCGACGTGTTGCTCGGATGCCAGCTGTTGGAGCGCATCAGCGGCTGGCCGCCGCGTGGCCACAGATCCGGGGGCGCCACAACTGGCGTCGCGAAATCCTCCAGCTCCGGCGACTTCAGCTCCAATGCGCTCAGCTGCTGCGTTATTTTGCGGAACGGCGACAGCGGCTCGTTGTCCGGCTCCTCGATGATGCGATGGCGCTCGATGAACGTCACGGCCTCCTCCACAATGCTCGGCTCCCAGATGTTGAGCAGCGTCTGCGTCTTGTTTATCATCTCGTTGCACAGCGGCATCATGTCCCGGGCACTGCGCTGCGTCGCCAGCTGCAGCAGCTGCGACATCAGCTCAACAATCTCCTTGCGCAGCTGCTTGGTCGCCTGGACGGCATCGTTGGCCGCCTGCACCTTGCACGCGTTGCTCTGCTCCAGCTTCCAGGCCTTGCTCTCCTGCAGCAGCCTATCGAACAGAAGGGAAAGAGGAAGCATTATATACTTTATACAGATGTGTGCATATAGAATCTATGATCACAATCCCTTCTCTCTCCCCCTCTTCCTGTGTTTCATATAGAGTCTCAAGAAAATTAAATATTTGTTATCTTAATCAATGAAATTCTTACTGAAACTCTTACTATGCTAAATATATCAACAGGGTATATCAGTTACGTCCAAGTGTATATAGCAGACAGCGGATCTTCTTCTATTATCGGATGAGTTATCGAAAAAATATGATAAACTGCTACTGCGTATGGTATACACGAATATGCATGCATTCGTCCGTCCGTATGTTTGAACGCGTCGATCTCAGAAGATATAAGAGCTAGCGATTTGAAATATTCTTTGGTAATTCTGTGCATTACTCGCGCAGATCGAGTTTAATTCCAAAAATAGATAGCTGCTCCCGTTATTTAATTATCGATTGAAAATCTAAGCGAAAGTCAGTAATAAGAATATATCTCCTAGAACTAGAGTCTCAACATTTTAAATATATATCCGTGTGTATTTAATAGTTCCGATTTTGTATACCCAACTTTTACAAAATCTGTTGTAGCTATTTAATACTGGAAGCCAATGAAAATAATGTTTCATCAAATCATATATGTGAAGCACAGAAGGCATAGCAAATCTGATCACGTCGACAGTTCACATACATCGTAGATGAGGTGGAAAAATTACTTTGAAGCTTTCATATCGTTGTGTGAATGAGTACAAAATTAATAATTTGAAAAAATTATTCATAGAATCATGGAAAACAGCGATGGAAATAACGGAACCAATGGCAGCGACGGTTTCAGCAACGGTGGATATCAGCGCAAGTCCTTGAGAGCCGATCAAATCCTAACTCAGGACGAATTGAAGCATATAAATGATTTGTTGGATGAACGTCTTAGGGAATTAGGCTGGCAAGAGGGGATTCGTAAAAAGAGAGAAGAAATTGTGGCAGCACGAGGTGAATCGGATGATGTCGACCACGAGGTCCTAGCATTTGCAAACACATCGATGCCCCGAAGCGTGCACATGGAGCTGGCGGAACACATACGTAATATCTTGATCTCGCGCAATTACTTTGCTTAAGAGCAATTCTGAGCTATGAGATGTATTAAGTATTGCAGAATACTGAAGCAAATAAAACAAATAAGAAAGCTCTAGTCGGGACTGCTCGACTACGAGGTCTCCTGAACCCTTCGAGCAACTGATATTTCAATAATTATTAGCACATGCACACACACACACGCACACACACATACACACGCACCCACGCATAAACAT